GTTTCTGGTTAGGCTTGTTTTTAGTAACTTCATGAATTCTTTGAAATTGTGAATGAGATTTAAAAAATACATTTCCTTAACTTTTTAAAGATACTTTGCCTCAAAAGGGCTATTGAAAACGGCTGCCTCCTGCCTCACCTCTTGTTCCTTCCTCCTCACCCAACTCTGTGTTCTATATGTCTGACACAGCCACTCTTCACTGTTTTAGCTGTTTCTTCTGGTATGCCTTTAACACAGTGTGATTTATTACTTTCAGAATTGGCTCTTGTCTTGCCACTAGGTTGGATAGGGATTTTGCTGGCTCATACCCACTCCACCGCACCCCCATTATTTCCTGTTCCATCAGTTTTGAGTGTTCTGCTCCTCTCTTGCATCTCAGCTTTACGCCACATGCTCCGAGAGTTGAGTCTTTCTCCAGCAAGCCAATCTAAAGTGGTCTCTCAGCACCCATTGTCACATCAACCTGTTGTAATTCTCGACAAGCCACTTACCCCTTAGCTTTCGTTTAGTGTATATGTGTGTGTGTGTGTGTGTGTGTCTCCTTCTACTGGAATGTGAGCTCCCTAAGGGCTGGAACCTTGGCTTTCTTGTTCAGACTAAATTCCCAGTGCATTAAACAGCACTTGCCATATAGATGTTTTCACACAAATGAAAAAAAAAATTAAAACAACATCTTCTGTGTTGTACATATTCCAAATTACAGCTAATTGAGGATTTCATCGTTTTAACATTGGCCATTTGTTGAATTCTTCTCAGCACGTGTCAGCTCTGTTGCATGGTGGTTAGAACAACAGACTTTGTGATGTTCCACTTGCAAGTATTTTATATTGCTCAGCTTCAGTTTTCCCATCCATAGCATCAGGAAGACACACCTTCTTATGAAGATTCAGTGAGAGAACATATATGAAAGTTTGGTACAGTACCTGATATGTGGTAAGCACTGAATGAATCAAGTTCATATTCTTAGGAGTAGGAGTGTTTGGAACCAAACTGGCATTCATATTTCCTCGCTGACACATAGACTTCCAGCAAGTCATTTCACCTCTTTGTCTGTTTCCTTATCTGTAAAATGGAGACAGCTTCTATGAGGTTGTTTTTGGGGTTAAATACATTTCATTCTTTTATTAAGCCCCTACTATATACACTTTCTTAATTGCTAGGGACAAGAGAGACAAGATTCCTGCTCTCTTAGAGCATATGTTCTAAGTATTCACTATCTTTAGGGTCTGTTGCAACTACTCAACTCTGCTTAGTGAGAGAGCAGCCATAGACAGTAGGTAAATGAATGGCTGTGGCTGTGTTCCAATAAAATTTTATTAACAAAAATAGGTGGCTGGCCTGTGGGTCATAGTGTGATTACCTCTGTTCTAAGACAGTAAACTTGTAAATACATACATAAAAATAATTATGAAGAAAAAAATGGGATAATGATTCTCTAACCAGGGAGATCAGAGAAGACCTTGCTGAACTGGTGATATCTGAGCTCAGACCTGAATGGTGGGAAGAACAATCTGGGCAGACTGCACAACTGGTGCCAACGGCAGGCGTGGCTGGTCTCGTGTGAGGAGCAGCCAAGAGACTAGAGTGGCTGAAGCCTGGGGATCAAGGGGGGACGAGGAGGAGATGAGGTACTGTTAGACAGGTTTTACGTGTGGTATGATTTGTGCATGTGAGTCCCTTGGCTTAGAGTTAATGTTCACTATTCCGTAGCTGCAGAAGGTGTTCAGTAAGCACTTTTAGACCTGAAGATAGCTGTGCAAG